GGGAACCAATCTCTGGATAGGACCTGCCCCTGGGGTCATTTCCTGTTTGGAGTGACCCACCTTCAAACAGTTGGCGCCTTTAATCTTCAGCGAAGAGAGGAAAAGTCAACAAGATTGCGTTCCTCGCTGGCGCCACCGGGAACCCGCTTCTTCCCAAGTGCTTTCGAGCAAGCAAGCAAAAAGTTGTATTGGTGGGGGGGGGGGAGGAACTGGGGAGGGGAGGAAAGGAGAGCTGTCAATAAGGACAGTCAATATTGGAGAAAGCCCTTGAGGAGCTGAACTGCATGAGCTCACAGCATTCTTGAAGACCGGGATGGGACGTCCTGTACAATTCGGAGAAGCGGACTAACACAATGCAGAAGGACGCCCTTTGAAAGGGACCTTGGAGATCTTCTAGTCCCGCCTCTTCTGCTCCTGCAGAGGAGACCCCCTGAAACAGGAGACGAGGAGTAAGGAAAAGAAGGACTCGGGGGGTGACGATCGTAGCCGTGCTCCGGTATTTGAGGGGCTGCCCCAAAGAAGAGGGAGTCAAGCTATTCTCCAAAGCACATGAAAACAAGACGATGGAAGCACCGGAGGGACACTAATCAAGGAGAGAAGCAACTCAGAACTAAGGAGGAATTTCCTGTCAGTGAGAGAACAATTAATCAAGGGCCTCTAGAAGTTGTGGCTGTTCCATCCCTGGAGGTTTTTAAGAAGAGAACGGACAGCCCTTTGTCTGGAATGGTATTGCGCAGGGGGTTGGACTAGATGACCCCCAAGGTCCCTTTCAACTCTGTTACCCTGCTACTACACCATTTCAGACAAATGGTTGTCCCATCTCCAATCTTGAAAGCCTCCAGCGATGAAGCACCCACAACTTCTGGTGGCAAAGCTGTTCCACTGATTAATTGTCCTCACCGTTAGGAAGTTTCTCCTTAATTCCAGGTTGCTTTCTGTCCTGGATTATTTATTTATTATTTTATTTTATGTATTTTGTCAAAAGCTTACAAGACAACAGAAACAAGGGTAAACCTAAGTTTAACAAGAAATAGGAACGGATAATTGGGGACCATAGGACAGGGACGGTAGGCACGATGGTGCGCTTATGCACGCCCCTTGCAGACCTCTTAGGAATGGGGTGAGGTCAATAGAGGTTAGTTGGAGGGTAAAGGAGTGGGAGTTTGAGCAGGTGACAACAGAATCAGGTAATGAGTTCAGGACATTGACCGCTCTGTTGCTGAAATCGTACTTCCTGCAATTGAGTTTGGAGTGGTTTACATTAAGTTTATATTTGTTGTGTGCTCTGTCAAGATTAATTTTCATCCGTTGCTTTCTGTCTTCCCTTCTGGTGTTTTGGAGAATAGGTTGACCCTTTCTTCTACTGTGACATCCCTTTAAATACAAGTGGTCCTCTCTAGTTGAGTGAGTTTTGCCCCATTTTATAACCTTTCTTGTCCCAGTCGTTAAACGAAACACCACAATTATCACACTAGCAACAGGGTTATTAAGTCAATCTGGCTTTCCCATTGCTTGTCAGACGTTGTAAAAAGTTGTTTTATAGGCTGGATTGTTTAACCAAATCTAGAAACTACATTTCCCACAACACACCATACACTTAATTAGTTTTAAATCTGTTCTTTCATTTGTGTGGTTATTCAGGAAGGGAGGCCTTAACGTAACTATGTAGGTAAGCTACCTTTTGCAAAAGTGAGAACATATGCAAATTCAATACGAAAGTTAAAAACATGTTTTTGTGTGAAGCACGGAAAAGGGGATATCTGGAAAAAAATACACTATTTTTATCTTTAACACCTATTAGAGCAAACTTCCTTTCAGGCCCCTTGTGAATATATTTGCGTCTTTTATTAATATTTCCTCTGGTGTGTGGGTGTGTGCGTGTTTAACCAGCATTGTCACAAAGAAACTATGTTAGTCTGTTGGCAACAAAAAGTAAGAATGCTTTGAAAAAGTCACAATCAGGTAGATTTACAACATAGATAAGATCCTCGCAAGGAAGAATAGAAACTTGTCTGAGGTAAATGAGCAGAAATTGAACACCCCCTGACAGAAAATGTGTTTTTTAGGTGATCTGAAGAAGTTTATTGATAACGGCAAGCTAGCAAGTCATTCATAACGGAGAAAAGAGAGTGGTTTTATGCGGATGCTGGGAAAAATTCTGGTGGTTTTAAACACACGTTAAAAATAAACCATTGAGGAAGAAAAAGAAATTGCAGTGAATGTTTTTTGGAAAGGACATACCTGCCAACAAATATATTGGGAAATTGTATACTCTTCATACTGTCTTATTTCAACATATAAAGCCACAGATTTCCTTATAGATTTCACTTCAGTGCTACAGTGTCTTATAAGTTTAAGGAAGGGCTGCCCCAAATCCGGGTAAATTACCCAAAATTAGATTAAAAAGTGTTTTGGCTTTTTCTCCCTTTGGGCTCAAAGGTTTGCTGGATGCTCTGCAGTGGATAAGAAGATGCTTTCCTCTTTGAAAGACATTGCGAAGACCAGACTCCTCTCTAGAGCACAAAAAATCTCCACAGACCGTTCTCATCCGGGATATTCATATTTCGAACAGTTACCTTCAGGGAGGAGTTATAGGCGTCTTAAAATGAGGACTAACAGACTGTGAAACAGTTTCTTTTCCAAGGCAATTGTCTTGAATCAAACAGTGCATTTGTGATTTAATCCTATATTATTATTATCATTATTATTGTTGTTGTTGTTATTATTTTAATTTTTAAATACTCTGTAGTGTGATTGTGATGTGGTGTTTGCAGCACTGTGCTGGAGTAGCTTTCAAATGTCCTTGTATTCGTGGAATGCAGTGACGCTAAAGGTATTTTAACCGGGCTCAAACCCATTGCTCGGTCACCGCAGAGAAATTGTAAACTGACCCCATCACTGGAAGTGTTCAAGAGGTTGGACCACCAATGAAAAAGGATCTCTTCCTTGAGCTGGGGGTGGGGGAGGGGTTGGACTAGAAGACCTCCCGGGGACCCTGGTCTCTCCCAACCCTATTATTCTATGTTCTAATTTGCATTTTTGGGTATGAAAGGCTTCCTGATAAGGTGGAAAACAGATCGGGAAGCCCTGCTTTCATACTTAAGCAATCTTTTCAGCCTGCAGAGTTAAAGTCATGCAGATGGGTGTTTTGTCTTTGCAAAGGGGGCCAAGCCCTTTCCACCACCACCCCGCCCCATTGTAGTAACTTGGCACTTGAAAGTTGAGGATTAGGGCCATTTCCAGACCCCAGAAGCCTGAGGGCCAGGATCAGCCTGGGTTACCCCCACCCCCCCTTGGCTGAGGTGGTTAGCCTCCAGCTCAGTTCTTTGCCCCTAGGCAAAAAGGCCGCACATTTGGATTCCTTCCTAAAAGCAGCAGCTTTTCTCAAGCTCATGAATTTTTAAACCGGGTGGACTTCAACACCCCCCCCCGCCCACCCCAGAATTCCCCACGCACCCTTGGCTGAGCCCCCAAACCAGGATTTGCACCCCCACAGAAGCCAGCCGCTGCCCCCAGCTGAACCTGGGGTGCCCACATTGCAAGCCCTGGTCCAAAAGGGCCCAGCGGAGATTCTACTACCTGAGACTTCTCAGGAAACAACAACTGAATGAAAAACTGCTGGTGACCTTTTACTGCTGCACCGTAGAGAGTATTTTAACTCGCTGCAACCTGTCTGGTTTGCCAATTTGCACCGCGGCAGATAGGAAAGCGCTCCAGAGGGTGAACATCATTGCAGAGAAGATCATGGGTTGCCCTCTCCCCTCTTTGGAAGAGCTTTAGAGCTCCCGCTGCCTTAAGAAAGTTCAAAACATCCTCAAAGATCCATCTCATCCTGGGCACCCCCCCCTTTTTTTTTGAACTATTACCATCTGGCAAACGGTACAGGACAATAATAAAAACAAGGACAAACAGGCTGAAAAACAGCTTCTATCCCAGGGCAGTAGCTCTCTTGAATTCTGCTCTATAGTGCAATATTAATGCCATATCAGGGGTTTTCAATTCAATGCATAGAATGAGAAGGAGGTGTGTTTATGTTTTATTTTTATTTTTTTAACGTATAATGCATACTGAAGATTTAATTTCATTGCACGAGGGGATCCGATCCAGTTGACCCGCAGCGCTTTTCCTCCATCCCAAAAGCTGGAAGACTTTCAAGACTGAGGCTCCTTGAAAAGGCTCGAATGCTCAGCTAGAACCATGCAATGGCCTATGGAACTCCCTGCCACATGAAGTTCAATTGGCCTCCCTCATTTTAGCCTCCTGTAACACCGCACAAAGTCTTAGCTTTCCACCCCCACAAAAAAATTCTACCAAGAAGAGTAGATTGAGTCAGATTCGAAACCAGGTTATTTGCGGTTTCTAATCGTCTTGTCGGCTTCGTTTGGTCATTTTGATATGATTTGATTTGTCTTTTGAGTTTGGGAGCTGTCCAGCTGGGGTTGGAAAGACCGGCACAGGTATATAAATAATAATAAATCTATATAGTATTAGCATTAGTATTTCATATATTATTAGTATTATTAACATGCTCTGATGCTAAGGAGTTCTACCCCCCTCCCCACCTGAAAAGAAATCTGTTCCAAATGCAAAACACAAGCAGAGGAGAGGAGTTTCAATTTCAGTTTCACAGCACCAAGCAGCTTTAGTACAGAACAGTTGAGCTAAGCCACGCCCAGGCTCCTTGCTGTCTCCTTGCTCACACGGCAAATACTCTTTCCGTTTCCAAACAGCCCTCAGCTCTCTCACACACCGACAGGACACTCACCAGATGAATACCGATGGAGGCTGGTAGGCCGAGGCAGAATTTCCCCCCCCCTGCCCCGCTTATTTTCCTCCCCCAAAACTAAGCCCCACCACATAGTTTCGTAGCGAAGCGCACGGGTATCGAGCCAGTAATAAAATAAAATAAAATAAAATAAAAAGTTCTTGTCCCGGAGTGGCTGGGCTCCGTCGCGCTCCTGGGATGGAGCAAGTCATCGAGCCCTGTCCCGTGGGACAGACTACCAGGGTTTGCCAAAGAGAAAGTCGCTTTCGGGCGTTTCGAGGCCCGGCTGGGAATCGGCAGTGGAGCTGGAACTGGGGGACAGGTGTTGTAGGAGGAGCTTCTCTTCCATGGATGCCTGGTGGAACGGGTAGCCCCCGGGGTGGGCCACGGTGCTACTGTCACACGGCGGGGGTGCCTCCTGCTGCAAGCTCACCTTAACCTCCGTCGGCTGCCCCCGCAGCTTCTTCAGCTTGTAGCGGTGGTTCTGGAACCAGATCTTCACCTGGTTGGGAGTGAGGCGGGTCACGGTGGCCAGGTGTTCTCGTTCCGGGGCCGTCAGGTATTTCTGCATCTCAAACCTCTTCTCCAGCTCCTGGACTTGATTTCGGGAGAAAAGCACTCGGCGTTTGCGCTTGGAGGGGTTTCCCGCAGAGAAGGGGGGCTGTTTGGCCAGCTCTCCAAAGTAGCCCATACAGTCTGCTCCGGACATGCTGAAGGCAGGGGTGCCCATAAACCTGCAGACTGGGGGAGGGAGGAAAAATAGGCAAGAAAAACCCAAAGTACAGACATACAGACTGGGTGAAACCAGGCTCAATAGCAGTAACTGGGAGAGGGTTGGACTAGATGACCTACAAGGTCCCTTCCAACTCTGAATAGCTGTTATCTGTAACCAGGGATAACTCCTCAGGGAAAGCTCAGATCCGAAAATGAAGTGGGTTTTCTACATTTTCCACCCTGGGTCAAAAAAGGATCTTATTTGGCCGAATTGAGTTCTACCCACCATTTTGAGATATGCTTTGGGCTAACTCCTCAGGGAAAGCTCGGATCCAAACGTGAAGTGGTTTTTCAGCGTTTCCCACCCTGGGGAACATGAATATTCATCTCTTTTCGAAATCTGAGCTCTGTGTCAAAGGATCTTGGAGTCTTAGTGGACAACCAGCTAAATAGGAGCCAGCCGTGTGCAGCAGCAGCCAAAAAAGCCAATGCAGTCCTAAATTGCATTAACAGAGGGATACAATCGAGATCAAGGGAGGTACTAATAGCACTCTATAAAGCCTTAGTAAGGCCACACCTAGAGTACTGTATCCAGTTTGGGTCACCACACTATTAAAAAAGATGTTGAGACTCTAGAAAAAGTGCAGAGAAGAGCAACCAAGATGATGAGGGGACTGGAGGCTAAAACATACGATGAACGGTTGCAGGAACCGGGCCTGGCTAGTCTAGGGAAGAGAAGGACCAGGGGAGACAGGAGAGCATCTTCCAATATTTGAGAGGCTGCCCCAAAGAGGAGGAGGAAGGGGTCAAGCTATTCTCCAAGGCACCTGAAGGCCAGACAAGGAATAATGGATGGAAACTGATCAAGGAGAGATTCAACCTGGAAATAAGGAGGAATTTTCTGACAGAACAATCAACCCATGGAACAGAAGTTGCCTTCGGAAGTTATGGGAGCTTCATCACTTGAGACCTTCAAGAAGAGACTGGACTGCCATTTGTCAGAAATGGTGTAGGGTCTTCTGCATGGGCGGGGGTGGGGGGTTGGACTAGATGACCTACAAGTTCCCTTCCAACTCTGTTAATCTGTTAAAGGGGAAGGGTGAGACATTCTCAGAGTTAATTTATCCAGGTTCTGGATTCTTGGGAACGCAGGTAATTTTTGACTTATGGCCAGAACAGAACCCAAGATTTTGGTGGCTAACTAAGCAAGACGGCGGTTGGGAGCTTCGTCCCACCTGGTGACCTTCCTTGCCATCGTTGTTAAGTGAAGCACTGCAGGGGTTACGGGAATCGTGCAGGCATTAAGGGGATCTGGCTTTCCCCCCCACTGGCACTGCTTGTCAAAAGCTGACTGGGAAGTTTACAAACACACGACCTCAGGACAATGCCACGCTCATAAATACATGCCAGTTGCTAAATGCCCAAATTTTTATTTTGTGGCTGTGAGGATGGTGCAAAGAATCCAACTCTCTCTCTCTCTCTCTCTCTCTCTCTCTCTGTGTGTGTGTGTGTGTGTGTGTGTGTGACTTGTATATAAGGAGAGCAAACCCACTCCTTTCTGGCACTGATGATGTTCCCTAGCTGGGTCATGAAAGGTCTGCAAGAGAACCACAAACCTCAGACAGCACCAAGGACCCCTCTTTCTCCTTCTCTTTGCAGATTGCACTCTGTTCTAGCACTGGGGATGTTACCCAGCTGAGTAAATGTCCACAAGAAACAAGAATCCCAGCCCTCCTCTTCCTCTTTCTCCTCCTCCTCTCTGCAAATCCCATTCCCTTCTGGCACTGATGACATTACCTAGTTGGCTAATGAAACGTCTGCAAGAAAACCACCAAGCTCAGAGAGTACAAAAGGCCCCATAGTTCTCCTCCTCCTCCTCCTCCTCCCCCCAAGACGAATAAACAAAAAACATATATGTTTCTAATCAATTAGACGGTGTGTTCTTTTCTCAAAAACAATTTTTCTAATTATCATTTCCTGTTTCTGGTAAATACTCTTAATCTAACCACTTTATTTTTTCCATTCCTTATCTTTTTATTCCCTATATTTTTATCCTTAATCCAATTGTACCATTTTTCCCAAACTGTACTATATTTTGAGTCGACCTCATCCTTTAACGTTTGGGTAAGGACGTCCATTTCGACACAGTCAAGGACCTTCTGGATTATCAAATTGTTTGTTGGCGTTTGGTTACCCTTCCAGCATTGTGCTAACGTGATTCTTGCTGCAGTAATTATATGAAGAATTAGACATTTCATTTCTTTTGCGTGAACACCTTTTATCATCCCCAATAAAAAGATTTCGACCTTACATTCTAATTGAATATTTGTAATTTCTTTTATCCAAATTCTGATTTTTTCCCCCCCAAGTATTTTTTTTACTTTTTGGGCAAAGCCACCAAACGTGGAAGAAGGTACCCCTCACTTGCTTTCATTTCCAATAAAGCGGACTTAGTTGACCCCTTTTCTATGTAGCTCTGTGATCCAACCCTCCCTCTTGCCTGGTATCTTCCAGATGAATAAGATTACAACTGGCCACTCCTGAGAACAGCTGGTTCCTTCGGGTAAAACATGCCGGACATATAATTTTGTTTTGTAAATAACTATTTAACTTTGCTCTGGAGCAAATATTTGGAGCCCCACCAGGTCAGAGGAGGGTCTCATAACACCCTGAGTGCGTTGACACATCTCATCTCGCTGTGGCCCGAAACTATAGTTTACAAGCCATCTTGGCTGCATTTATACAAACAGACACAATCAAGATCAAAGAAGGCTGAGAATCAAGGATCATGTTTGGCTGAAAGAAATGACTGATGTGCTGGGGCTTAAAGGCTGGGGCTTTTAAATAAATAACCTGTTAGTTTGAAATGAAATAGCCAAGTTCCTTTTGATTTAATAAAGGAGAATATTTGTAGCTCGGGATTGAAATGAGAGGTCCTTGGTGATGTGGGGTCTGGAGAGGAGGAGGAGGAGGAAGAAGAGGAGAGGAAGAAGAAGGAGAAGGAGGAGGAAGAGAAGAAGAAGGAGAAGGAGAAGGAGAAGGAGAAGGAGAAGAAGAAGAAGAAGAAGAAGAAGAAGAAGAAGAAGAAGAAGAAG